GACACACATTTCATTTAAACGTGTTCAATAATTTTTTTTGTTACATCTACTATTTTACTTGCAATGCCTAAATTCCTTACAGGATAATATCTATATTGTAAATAATAAAAATGTCATCACAACTTTTGACCGATTGATGTATGGATCGTTATATATCATAACCTTTTCTTAAACGAAGAATAATATTGTCTGTGGTTTACTCTCTGTAAGTCGTAGAGCACCCGTAGAGTTTTATCCTGAGATATTCCTAGTGTAACTATTATGCCAATAAATACTTAATACAAAAGAGTTACTGATCATCGGAATCAGAGCCCAAGATCCGGCAGGAAAAGAGAGGACAATGACTTTCAGGCCGATAACAGCCGAAATCATTGTCAGACAAACAAAATACAATTGTCCAGCATAAAAATTGGTACGTGGAACATGAAAAGCAGGTATCAACATAATAAAATTCATAATGTTCTTAAAAAAATGAGCAGATTAAAAGTAAATATATCAGGAGTAAACATGGGTAAATGAAAATGGGCTATGGCGTCGAAGATACAACTTTGAACTATATCAGTTATACACCTATCCAGATATTGTGAAATTCGTTAAAGTGGGCTGAACACATTGCTAGGATGTCAGATCACGATTACACGAAGAGATTAACATTTTCAAAACCAGAAGGCACAAAAAGTAGAGGACGACCATGAAGGAGATGAATTGATGATTTGGATGAAGACCCACAGATTCTAAGGGTCAGAAGATGGAGGGAAGTTGCCAGGAATCGACAGGAGTAGCGACTTCTTTGTGAGGAGACCAAGATCCATAACGGGTTGTCGAGCCACTTATGATGATGAAACGAAACATGAAAACCTAACTCACCACGCTTTGCGATAAATAACCTATTCAACATTCGTCAATAAGGCAGTACAAACAAAATCTGATTCAGGTTTATTTACCAACAACAGATTAAACGAAGGATAAAATAGAAACGTTCTATCAACATATTGATGATGCCTTGAAAATATTTAAGAATAGAGAAATAACTACACTTATGGGCGAAGATTTGGAATAAGAGTGGAGGACCATGGATTGGGGGAGGCGTAATGAAAGGGATGTCGGTAAAAGCCAAGATTTTGCAAAGATCTTGACAATTTTGCCAAGAGCATGACCTAATAATCACGAACAGATTCTTTAAATTATCAATAAAATGATACATATATGGAAATAGCCAGAGAAGGCACTCAGAAATCAAATAGACTTTATCACGATTAACCTGAGATATCGTAATATTATCAAAGCAGTAAAAACATATCCAAGAGCAGATGTCTCATCCAATCACAATCCACTAATTTTTTTTTTGCTTAAACTTAAACGAATACCACAAGAATGGAGATCAAGCATCCTCTGTATAATAGAGAAGCCCCTCTGAATATTATAAAAACTATTTAAAACATCTATCAAAACAACAAAATGGAAGTTAGAGTAGATGGACAACTTACAGAACCTATAGAATTCAACAGCGGAATAAGATAGGCGGACTCATTAAGTTCTACGCTCTTCAATTTAATCATGGATAAAATCAATAAAAGCGTTAACAGAGGAAGAGTATATAGAATGTTAAACAAAGAAGTAAAAATACTCTGTTAGACTACGCAATAATGATAGTCCAAGATGAAGATAATCTGCAAAGACTGGTTCACAGATTTAACAATAAAGCAGAACAATTTAATATCTCAATCTTATGAGAAATATGAAACAGGAGTAATCAGCACAGAGCCAACCAGATGTAAAATAGAAATTTATGTTATTAGTATTGAGCAAGTAATGGAAATAAAATATCTAGGAATTACACTGTCCAGCTATGGAGACCTGAACAAATAAGTAAATACAAAAAGCAAATAGGCTGGCAGGATGCCTTAATAATACTACATGGTGAAACACACACATTAACACGGAGATGAAATCAATAATTTATAAAGCCAGTGTAAAACCAATAATGACATATGCCTCAGAAACAAGACCCGACACAGCCACAACCCAAAGACTACTGTACTACTTCTACTAAATAGAAAGCCGTGTCGTGAAAATAGCAAGAGATAAGTTACTAATCGGCAGAAGTATCGGACGACCGCGCAAAAGATGAAGTGACAACCTTTCATAGAGGTATTATTCCGCCAATAAACAAGTAGAATTGCTTATAAAGAGGAAGAAGAAGAAGAAGAACACTAAAATTAACAACCAAAGTAATAACAAATAAACTGAATGAAATTATAATACTAGCAGAAGAAAAACAAGGTTTTAGGTCGGGAAGATCATGCACCAACGCCATATTTATAATAAATCAGGTGTAAGAGATTTCATTAGAGTAAAATAAACCGGCATATCTATGTTTCTTTTACCTTAGAAATGCATTTGATATAGGAATAATCAAAACGATTTAAAATTTCTACCAAAACAACACAATTAAAGTAAAAGTAGAAGAAGAACTGAAGCTGGCAATGGGATAAGACATAGAGATTCCCTGTCCCCTAAGATGATTTACAACGTACGCTGCACCAATTTAATATAACCGCCAGAAAATTGAACATGACAATTTTTCCAAAAAAGACAAAATGCATGTATAGCAAATTTACTATGCTGGGATGTAAATTGGAGCTGGAAAGTCAGATGATAAAACATGTAATGGATGTCAAATATCTAGACATCACATTATCTAGCTACGAAAAGCTCAAAACAGAAGTGAACGATTAAGTGAATAGAGCATACAGAGTCGCAGGTTGCCTAACTGAAACAATATAGAGAAATAAAAATATCGGGAAAGAGATGAAAAGCAAAATTAACATCAGACTAATAACGACATCAGACTAATAATGACATACTCGGTAGAACACAACCTGGACAGAGAGAAGAAGAATAATTTTAGAAACAGCAGAGATGAAAACCCTTAGAAAAATTTATGGTCAGACACTATGAGACAGAGCTAGAAGGTATATGACGTAGATACAAGGTGGAGAACATCAAGGACCTAAAAAGAAATAGAAGAGTAGAATCATATAAGCCGAATGACAACAAATAGAATAATACAGACGGTGACAGACGGTTTCCTAGTAGGAAGACAATTAGTTGGAAGACCACGAAAACGAAGGAACGACAACTTACTTACATTGAAAAAGAGACCAATTCATGTCTATATAAAAAAAGGAGAAGAACTTAAATGCATCAACAAGCATCATAAAATACCTAGATTATAAATAAGAAAATTGTAAGACCCTGGTCTTCTTCTTCAAGTTCCACTCCTATCGGAGATTGGAAATCATTCTGGCAATTGTAATTTTATTGGTTACTCGCCTGAATAGTTCAATTGAACTGCATCCTAACCACTCACGGAGATTGCGTAGCCACGAGATTTTACGTCTTCCTACGCTTCTTCTACATTTGATTTTACCCTGCATTATATTCCTTAGTAGTTCGTACTTTTCACCTCTCATGATGTGCCCCAAGTATTCCAATTTCCTGATCTTTATGGAATTTAAAACTTCGCATTGTTTTCCTAGTTGTTCGAGAACTTGTTCATTTGTTTTGCGATCCATCCATGATATTTTCAAAATGCGTCGGTAACATCACATTTCGAATGCTTCTAGGTTTTTAATGTTGGATTTTTTAAGTGTCCAAGCTTCAACTCCATACAAAAGGGTAGAGAAAATATAACATCGAAGCATTCTTATCCGGAGCGATATATTGATATCGCGATAACAAAAAAGTTTTCTTATTCCATTAAAAGTTGACCGCGCAATTTCAATGCGGCCTGGTGTAATAAAGCATTTCAAGACCCTGGTATAATAAAGAATTTCCAACAAAAAATATTTGAGAGCTTTGATAAATGGGAAACTAAATCGAGAGCATCAACAATGGCAGCCAATAAAAGCTTATTTCCTCGATTCATGCAAATAGGTATTGAAAGAGTCTATAAGAACCAAAGAAAGCTGGATGATCGACGAAATATTGAATGTGATGGAACAGCGTAGACAAGCCAAAAACAATAACAATAAGATCAGAAACAAAATCAGAGAAATAAAAAAAGTCTACTTTGGCGGAAGATATAAAGAAATAGAACAACTTCAAAATAATTATGACTGGTACACCCTACATAAAGGTTAAAAAAATTAAAGGGTTACAGCGAAAAAAACATATTTTACCACTTTTAAACAATCAAAAATGGGAATACCTTAATTGGTGGTAAATGCACCCTGGTACATCTCAAACCTAACGAAGACTTAAAGATACTTTATGTTAAGGACGTGATAACCTAGAGAAGCATAAGACATCACAAACAAAAACACAGTTATAATCTACTCCATCCACTTTTAAAACCATACATCAATAGAAGGCTCACCAGACGTTTACCAGCAGATCTATAAAGGTAAAAATTATATGTCTCTATATACGCTTCGTCACGCCATTGCATTAAAACAATGTATCAAAAAATCGCAAAATTATTCAAAACGCACAGCTAGGACATAGGTCATACAAAGATGGAAGGAGACCTGCAGATTGCATTTACATTAGAATTTATTAAACAAGTAAAATTATGTTGTTCTAATCTCTTACAAAGAATAAAAACTAGAAGACAAATAAAAGACATATGACAAAAAAAAGTGGTAAGATGAAGGTAGTCATCAAAATATGTAATAGAAGACGTCGGATAGGTGTGAGAAATATAAGAAAAAATGGTCAAAATTTGTATACTTGGTAAAATGTAATTTATATAGTGTTATTAAATTACATTACTCTTCACCAGTCCACCACAAAGAGAGTGATAATATGCAGAATTGCAGAAGCAATGATGGTCAAGCATAGAAGAGCAATAAATATAGTTAAAATAACGATAATGGCCAAATATGGCAAAAGGTAAACACATCCACTTTATTTTTAATCTAAAACAAATCATTTTTACAGCAGTGAACAAAATTTATAGGTTTTGACATATAACGGTTCACAAATTTGTTGATTACCTTCAACCTTTTTAGCCTCTGCCTCTTCTTCTGCCTCATTCTCGGAAATATCTTGATCAGTAACGTTGATTCGTACAAAACTTTGCAATAATTCAGCCTCACGTGTTATGCTTAGCCTTTTTTCGGCATAGGTTCTAGATTCACTCATTTTGCAGTAGACTTACCCAATTGTTGAGTAATTTACTAGGTAACAGACAGTCACGTAACACGTAGATTTATTACAATATTACATGTACAATTATGAACGGGAGTATTTTTCACACACCGTAATGGATATTTTACTGCGAAAATAACACCCTTGGGGTTTCCATGGAAACTCGGAGGTGTGATCAATTTGTGAAAATTGTAACGCGTTTCTAAGGAAAGATGGTCAGAAAATTGTCACTTCTGCGTATTTAAAAAAACATTTTCCGGTTCTAAATCTGTGTTTGAGAAAAAAAATAATCTCACGAACTGTCTTTTTAATAAAACGAAGAACCCTTTTTCAGATTTTGACATAATGAGCATGTTACAAAGTTGGTAAACATTGTTTATATATATATATATATATATATATATATATATATATATATTATATATATATATATATATATTATATATATATATATTTATATATATATATATATATATATATATATATATATATATATATATATTGTTATGATATGTAAAATCAAGAAAAATATTGGTTTGCTTAAAATATTTCAAAGTTCAAAAACATTAAAATAATTCAGATAAGTCAAACAATAAACTACAAACATTTCGAAGAATGAAAGTCTTTTAATTTTGGATTACCTGTATTTAACAAAACGTAAGATATGCATAAATTATTTTCTTTGTTAAAATATATTTGTATGACGTGAATAAGCTTAAGTGAAATAAAAGACAATTGAACCGGGTTTTCCAAATACATTAGTGCAGCGATTAGGACAATAGAATAGATTTTAGAAAGATAGGTTTTTGTTAGTTTTTAAGAATTGTAGAAAAATATTATTTGTAAATAAGTTTTAGGAAATTTTATAATTATAGATAAAAATTTGTTTGTTATCGAAATGAAAAAATGGGAGACGGATGACGCGTTTTGATTGGATGAAATTGAAAAAGGTAGGATGATTGGTTGGAGAATGAGACGTTAGTTAGTTTCGGAAGAAAAAAAAGATAATTAGTTGATTTCCAAGGGTAGAAGGCGAAGGGCCGTTGTTCTCGGGTAGTTTCCCAGAGGTAGGAAGCAGTAGCAGTAAAAGTTTGTGAGTTTTCGTGTAGTTAGTGTATCTGACAGAAGCTGATCCAGTAAAAGATTGTAAGTCATATTTTTCTACTTATATTCCAAGAGTCACTGTTCAGGCCAACGAGAGATTCAGTTTATCGTAAAGAGAAGATATTCCAAGAGTCATTTTTCACTCAGGCCAACGAGAGATTCAGTTTATCGAGAAGAGAATAGGCTAGCATAATTTGAACGGTTCGTGCATTTGAAGGAGATCATTAAGGACGATAAACTTGCAACAATTTGTTGTAAGATTGCTGATTACCTAGGGAGCGGCTGAGAGTAGATAATATAGTCTACAAGGAACAAGGATTTGGACCACTCATCATCAGAGAGAGATAGTTTTGTTTTCTGCAATTTTTATTTTATAGATAACACAATTTTTACATTTAATTTAGAAAGGATATAAATATTTTGATTAGAAGATTTAGAATAATATTTGGCATTTTGAGTTTTCAACTAATATTGTTTGTACCATTGATTTTAAAGGTTCACGTACGTAGAACAAAATTTTGAGAATCATTATATGAGTTTTTGTTTATTGAAAAATTTTTGAGTGTGAATTTTATTTCATTATTTTATTTCAATATATAATGTTAGATCCTATATGTTTCTTATTATTCCGGTATTCTTTGGACCTTACCTTTCACATGTGAAGCATAGATATTGAAGCACGAATTTAACCCTGAGATAAGAGAATTAAAAAGTGTGATAGAGTCATAATCATATCATTTAAATAATTTTAATTAATTAATTAATTGATTAGCTAAATAATTGCTTGGTGCACCAAGACTTTAAATATCACAATAATATGTATAATTTAAAAATGTTATAAAAATAAAAATTAATAAATTTTATAAATTTATCTCCCAAAGTTCATCGTTCTTCATATATTAGTTCTATATTGCATTTAGATTCATAAAAGCCAATAAGAAATAAAAAACTAAAATATCAAAAACAATTTATTTACATATGAAAAAAAACAATAATATGGAACACAGTCAAAACTGTTTGTAAATTCCATTGGTTTTTCTTTTAATAACAAAAATTATAAACAAATTTTTGGCACTCCTATGGGCACTAGTATGTCCCCAATTCTGGCTACGTATGTAATGGACGATCTGTTAAATATTGTTTTCCAAGTTGTTTCTTTTAACTTTTTCTTTATTAAAAAGTATGTTCATGACATTATTATGTCTTGTCCACTAGGTTTAGACACTGAGTTCTTCGATATTTTCAATAGATATGACCCCCACATTCAATTAAATCAATCAAAACCAATCTGTTTCTTTTCTTGACACAATGTTCACTAGAGAACTGGATAACATCATTATAATTGATTGGTATAGAAAAAAGTGTAACTCTGGGAGATACCTCAAAGAAGTCAAGTATGAACGTGTAGTGAAACAAATGACAACAAGAGTTTGTAAACAAGCTAACCCTGTTTTTAAAAAGAAGAATCTTAACATCCTTTAACAATTGTTCCTAGATAATTCTTATCCTGAATTCATACTCAGAAAAATCATCTTCAACACATCCTGTGTTATACTTAATACACAAGAGAACCCTCCCCAAAATACAGGTGCTATGAAAGTTAGTTTTGACTCCCATTCACCTACTAAAAATATTCCTAAAATATCTTTTGTATCACTTCTATGTATTAAGGATGTCACTCCCAAATTGACCAGAGTTTTTGCTCAATACCAAATGTAAAAATTGCTCATAAAAGGACTCTAGTTGTGGGATCTTTGTACAAGTCATTGAAAGATAAAAAACCAAACTCAGATAAAAGTGATGTTCTATCCAAACTTAGTTGTTTAGGCTGTGAAGGTTCTTATATAGGTCAAACCTTCCAAAATGCTTCCAGCCGTTTGACTCTTCACAAGAGTGAAATTAGGTTACACCTTGATAGATTGTTTCTCTAGATGGCATTCATTTTTTAAGGAAAGAAACTTTTAATAAAAAGACAGATACCAACTATTTGAGCAACTTATACTCATTATTGCTAACTTAAGATAACTACAAATATATTAATAAAGGTAATTCATTGTCAATAATATAAATTTCATTATATATGTAATACATAATATCTCTTCTACTTTATACAACACCAGGGCCACCTCTTCCGAAGTGCAAATTCGCGTTAACCTTGCGCAGCGACGTCACTCGCAGCTTAGTATTCACATTGCTCTTAATTGTATACATAAGCACTCGTAATTTAGTCATCCTAAATATGGATATATTGCATATTATTTTACTGTCTTCATACATTTTAAATAAAAACGAATGTTTATAATGTTTTCTTAGTCAAATATATTTAATTTTTATGCTAATTAGAACAAATAAGGTATTAGTATAAAAATATAGCTACTTATTTAGGTACCTATATACTTCCACTTTTTATAAACTTTTAAGAAGGAACAAAATTTTTATATTATACATTATTGGTAAATATATAGTTAAGTTTAAATACTTAAAACAACCGTCACTTACACAAGTCAGATGCCAATTTTGAAAATAAATATTACGATCGCGTTAATATTCTTGCTAAATAACTATATATAAAGCAGTTTTAAAACAATTTGCGTTTAAAAATATAATACTATATACATTATGCAATAGTTTTTTTTCTATTTTTCTTTTATTAGTACGTGCTAGAATAATTTTTATTAAAATCTTTTATACGGAAGTACATACGCGATCGAAAAAATATTTTCTTAGCATCTTGAGGACAATCAATATTAACACTTGCAGATAACAGACTTGAAACATATTGTTTGCCAGTAAATATGGTATCTCCATTGAAGTTTTGAAAAATTTGTTCCAGTTTTTCCAACTGAGCCATAAATTCATTAGAAGGTTTACATAGTCCACCTTCTCTCAAATGATTGGTCCAGGTGTAAGACGTCGAACTTGGGTTAGTTAAATTTGGTAACTTGCCTTTAAGCTTGCTACAAATAAATTCTCCTAAATGTTCTAGTCCATCATATCTTAAATCATCGAGTTCTTCACAGAGGACTAGGTCATCTCCATCCGTGGGATTGGCGTCAATGATTGTTTTTTTTTAAAGCAAGCTTTTCTACCATACTACCGCTCATAGTTAATGTAGGAGTACCATCGTCTTCTACATTACAGTAATCTGAAAAAGCACCTTCATTTTTTCCCATTAAATAAGAACGCAGTCGGTATTTAAAATCTAAAGAAGTTGGACGATTGTTCAAACCACCTTTTGCTCTTATGACTCCAAAAAAATTCTCCAAGGGATCTTGGTTTAAGCGTCTCGTCAAAAGGTAGTTCATATTATAGCGTTTGCCTACATCTTCAAGCAGCAACTGCAGAGCCTTATTTGATATAAGAATACCTACAATGTTTTGTAAAATGTTATAAATGTGTTTTTACTTTGATATACTGTGTTACCTTTTTGGAATGGAAGCAATGATTTCTTGCCTTCTTGACTAATGCTACCCAGCATTAGTCAATTGAATACTTAGCCAAGAACCGAAACCTCGAGTATAAAACCCTTTTAGAAGGAAATACTATACAACAAACAGACTACCGAGTTTTTAGAGTTTTTACGTGAAGTGCACTCGGAAGCTTAGATTAAAATTGCGTTGTTCCGGTTTTAAGTCTCCTAATACTTGACAAATTCCCAGAACCAAGCGGTCGGGATCACAATGGATTTTGATTCATTTATTATTGTATCATTAGCTTTTATTACATCATGTACTTTGTAAAGGACCGCCTAGGTATCATTTAAGAATAAATTTTTGAATGTTTTCACACGTTTTGTGAGTACACAAAAATGCTCAATGCAAATTACAGGTATCGCAAGAAAAATTGTATTGTCTCTTACATATTTCTTCTCAAATTTAAGAAAAAGTAAA